TGTGTTGTATTTAATGTCAGAAAAATTATATAAAAACAGTGTATATAATCTTCTACATCAGCCTTTCACATAGAGTTATCGTTTTAACTCATGCAAAAAAAAATGAAAGTTTAGAATGAATATATCCATTTAATTTCGTTAGATATCACGAACGCACGTTCGCTCCGACTTTAGCCTTTGTTTATATTATATTTTAGTTTATATTTTATTTTGGTTTATATTTTGGCACATATATGTTTGTGTATTATTTTCTTGTCTCAATTTATTTCTGCGTTTAGGAAATATATTTTCTGGGAAGTATATTTTCGAGAAATTTGACACAAAGGAACGGTAACAAGGAAGAATACATATATCTCTTGAAAAATATAGAAACTTTATACGTTTCTAAAGAGAAGAAAAAAAAACAGGAAAGAATAAAGAGAATATTGATAGTGTAAAAACGTTAATCATATATATTTATCGATATTACTTCGACTATTTATTAACTAGCTTTTAAAAATGATTCGATTTCCTGTGTAAATAAGTTCGTGCAGATAATATATACATAGAATGTCGTTTGGGAGCTATTTAGTGATAGAAATTATCACCGAAATAATCGCCGCGAGATGACCGTATCAACGACAAGATAGAGAAAGGGAGGAAATGGCTGAGACGCGTGCCTACAATAGTTACCACTCGCAACGAGTACGCGTGCATGTGTGTGTATGTGTATATGCGTGTGTATGCGTGTAGATAAGGAGTTATATTCTCTTATCTAGAAAAAGATTTCGAAACTATTGCGAAGGGGCAGAGCCAAGTTACCGAGAAGACAGACATATATGTTAATCAACGGCGAGGATTTATTTTAAGAATATTTATCCTTCTTGGTGCATGCCCATAGGTCTTACACTACATGTAAATACAGTGTTAAATAGTCGTATGTATAAATACAGAAGAGAAAAACTGTATAGATGGAATATTAGGTGATTACACCGGGGGGAAGAGAAGCAAAGCGCACCGGTATTAGCGTTCACTCTGTTAACAAATTGCAAAGGAGGCGGGTGTATCTAAGTAAAATCGAATCCTTATTTCTGCGCGCTCGTAAATTTATCATTTGTTACACACAACATCGTAGAGATATGATAAAACCGAGTATTTTTTAAGAGAATGAAATGGATTTTAAGAGAATGAAAAAAGTTTATGGCGTGAACGAGAGACGAGGGAGGGAGAGTTTGTTAGTGAGAGAAATATTACATAGCGATTTATCTCAGGTTAAGAGAATCGTGGGGGAGTAAATATCGGGAGGTACTCGAACAAATGTGTGATCACGTTTATATAATCTGTATATTTTAATTAAATAAACTGAAATATATAAATTCTATTATTTGAACCGATACTTACGATTTTTTCTGCGACAATCTTTTCGGGCCAGTGTCGCTTGTGAAAAAACTTATTAAATTTCTCGATGAATTTAAATGAATATGAAAATTATATTAAATTTAATTATATTGTTTTGATTTATTAAATAAAATCTAAAATTTTATATATATCTCCGAACCTCAGCAACCATTTTGCTAATGGAGATTTATAGATCTTTTGTCTATTAATTATATAATTTATATTATAAAATTTTTATCAATATCAAATTATTTCTAAAATTTTATAGATAATTTTTAACAATTATGCGAACATTCTTAAATATATTGCTTTTTAATAATTTTTCAAAAGTAATATATCGTAGAGATATCATTAAATAGCCAACTCCGAATAAACTTATAATAATTGAACGTTAATATTATCAATTGTTAATATAAATTTATCTTTTATAAAAATATTTAATAACTTGTAATATTAAATTCGATTCATTATTATGTAAGTATTTTATATAAATAAACATACATATTTACAGTGTAATAATATCGTTATGTATTGTAAAATTGTATTTTTTTATAAATATAAATAATAATTCAATTCAATTCGGGAATCTTATACATATCAGGAATCTAATTTTTATAATAAAATTTTTAAGAATTAAAAATTAATTATTAGTTTCAAAATATTAATACTTGTTAGTTATGTTAAGTAAATTTTTTGAAGCACAACAAAATTTGAATTATAAAAAAAATTTCCATAATTCATGGATTTTTAATTAAAATTGGTAATACATATTTGTGTTCGAAGCGAGCAAAAAAGTCTCTAGATGACAGGTCTCATTTTCAATCATAGTTCATAAAAAACCAACCTAATCTTTGATCCGATTCGAGAGTAATTAGGTTATGTGAAGTTCGTGATGATATCCGAATGTAAACACTGAAAGTGTTACGTTAATTGGTTGTTACGTTAATTTGGTTGTTAAAATTAAATTATTATTAACGAGAATTTATGACATTTAATTGCTTTCCAACATAAAACTCGAAAAGATTGTGATCATGGAACCGAACGAACGGAAGAATGATTCCGTAAGTTCTCTCCCTGAAGATGCTCCTGTGATTAAGGATAATGTTGATACAAATAACGGAATAGAGATTTCTAAGTCACAAGCGTGCAATGAGCCGAGCACTGAATCTTCCCAAGATGGGACGGATGATAAAACAATTTCGAAAGAGTCAGGATTTAAGAAGCCGCTTCTCCTTATCGGTCCCAAACGAGGTAAGACCGGAAAAATTCGAACCGTGAACAACAACCCAGTTTTTCCACCATCCGAATCGTTATCCGTAAGTAAGGAAGCTACCGAACCTGCTCATCCGCAAAATGACGCTGAGGATAAGACCGATAAACCAACATCAGATAGTTCGATGGAGCAGAATGTCCCACCTGAGGCAAGAAACATTCCTATACCATATTTAGAGCCAAAATGGGGAGGAAAACCAGACCAGGAATATAAATTGGAAGTTCTCAAATCAGGAATGATTATAGAGAAGATCGATTTGACCGAAAAAAGTTTTTATTTAATAGGCAGACTACCTTCTTGTAACTTATCACTCGCTCATCCAACTATTTCAAGGCATCATGCGATAATTCAATACAGAGCAATAGATGACGAGAAGAATTCTAAAGGTTTTTATCTATATGACTTGGAAAGCACACATGGTACATTCTGGAATGGGCATCGTATAAAATCAAGGACCTATGTTCGGTTGCAAGGTGGTCATATGATAAAATTTGGTTGCAGTCAGAGAAAATATATTGTGCAAGCTCCACCAGAAGATCAGGAGGAGGAATCTGAACTGTCAGTTACTCAACTCAAGGTTAGTTTCATTCATAATTGATTGAATTATATATCGCATAATTAGTTTATTGCATAATATTTTGCTAATTATTTTTATATTTCTCCAAAAAGCAAGATTTCCAAACATATTTGTGTTTGTAGGAAAAACGAATGGAAGAATTGCGCGAACGAGAGATTAAACAACAAGAGGAAGAAGAAGCAGAAGAGAAAGCAAGACTGGCAGCGGAGAACGAGGGTATTGATTGGGGGATGGGAGAAGATGCCGACGAAGAAACGGATCTTACAGAGAACCCTTATGCTTCTATGGCGGACGAAGAGTTATATCTAGACGATCCTAAAAAAACACTAAGAGGCTGGTTCGAAAGAGAAGGATATGACCTGCAGTATGAAGTTGAGGAGAAAGGGATAGGCCAATTTTTGTGTTGGATAAAGTAAATATAAATTTTAAAAAATATTAAATAATACAAAAAAATATATTAAATAATAATCTTTTTTTACATATATATAGTACTTTAATTTATTGGTTTTTTTCTTTTTATTTATTATAAAAATAATTTTAGTTTACCTAAAGAATGTTTCGGCGGTCGTTCCATGAGGGCAGAAGCTCTTGTCAAAGGGAAAAAGAAAGAATCCGTTGTCCAGTGCGCTTTGGAAGCCTGTAGAATTTTAGACAGACATGGATTATTGAGACAAGCCAATCATGGTGATGTATAATATGAAAATTATATTTATATACGAATAAATGATATTTTGATCATAACTAAAAAATTTTATTTTTATTTATTGATAAATATTGATTACAGAAAGTCGAAGAAAGAAAACGAGGAACTGGGAAGAGGAAGATTATTATGATTCGGATGAAGATAACTTTTTAGATAGAACGGGAACAGTAGAGAAGAAACGTGAACAGAGAATGAAGTTGGCTGGAAAATTTGAAGAAAAAGTAGAGACGTATAGTTCACTGGTAATGTCACTTTTTGATCTATATTTATTTATATTTATATAAAATGTGCGCGCGCGCGCGCGCGCGCGTGTGTGTGTGTGTGTGTGTGTGTGTGTGTGGCTTTAATTGGATCTTATTAATATTATTTCAGACTGAGAAGCATAACGAGATTTTGAATAAAATTTCACATTTGAATAATCGCTTAAAAGAAGCACAGGAGAATATTACTAAAACTGGAGAATCTAATGAGGATTCATTGGACGCCTTTATGTCTAGTTTGAATACATCTACTTTGAGTAAGAGTGATATAACAAAAATGAAAGTGGAGTTGCAAAATCTACGTAGAGAAGAAATGAAGCTTATTAAATTAATAAACCTTACGAAGCCGGCCAATTTACCACCTCTTGTCAGTCAAGTGCAAGCAGAAGATAGCAAGGCAGATCAACAAAAATCAAAACTTTCCCTGAGAAAGATTTCTCAACTTGAACGAAGAAGAAAACTTTTTGAGACAAACGTAAGTAATTTAATTTTGAATCATTTTGCTTTCTTAGTATACAAATATTTTATTATTTTATTATTTTATTTATGATAAAATAATGATATTCTTTTCAGAACAAAGACGGTTCTGAGAGAGAATCGTCAACTTTAAATAGTAATAGTACTATGGATAATGAAGAAGAAGAGGAAGAAGAAGATGATGAAGAAAAAGAAAAAGAAGCTAAAGAAGATAATGCAAAAGAAAAAGAGGAAAAGGATATAAATGTACATAAATTCGAATGCGAAAAATCTACATTATATAAGAATGAAATTGAATCAAATAATAGTTTGACAATCGATGATAAATCATGCATGAAAGGCGTTAATCAGGATATGGAAGCAAATAAGCCTATTGCAGATGACAAGAAACGAAAAAGGATAGAAAATCGGAGAAATCGAAAAGTATAAAAAGACAGTACGATCAAGATGTCCACTCGGAAGATTATTCTACGTGGATACCGCCACAAAACCAATCCGGAGATGGAAGGACAAATCTTAACGATAAATATGGATATTAAATTAATGCTAGCGTCATAAGAAAAAACAATGTAAATATTTGTCAAAAATTTAATATTACCATACATGGTAATACACAAGGGATTATTTATTTTTTACATCTAAAATATATATAATCTCAAATGTACATATATACAATTTTTTTTAAACATAGAAAAATATTTTACTTCTATCTTTGAATTTCAAAATGCTGCTTTATTTAAATTTTTAAGTATTAAAAAAAATGATTATTTTTTTGCTGAAATAAAATGAGCTCAAGTGCTAATCAACTTAGTTTATTTTCTGAACAAACCTCATTTCTACTTCGCTTCGATACCATGAATAATGGGGGCTTCAGGTACACACATCTGACAGCACTGTGTCGTTTCTTGCTCCATCTTGTGGCTCCATAAAGTGGTTACTGCGAAAAGCTGAACTGTCAAAACTTTGGACGATCAACGTCAATAGCAGTCAAGAGTTGATGATTTCGTATGGAGTCATGATATATAGGTTAACATTTTGAAAAATTTCATCTTGAACACATAGATGAACATGGAATACGTCGACAATTCGAGCTACATCCAAAGTAGTACGTATTCTACCAATACGCATATCTGATGCAAGTCTAAGCGACTAATGTGATTATTGTATTTACACTTATTATCGCGGTTATCTTCGTTTCTCGTGTCTCGTGGAGTAAACGTTATTACTTGCAAAGTGACTTCGCATTTCATGTTCCAGTTTGGGCTCCGATAGCCTCTGTGGGATGGTACATTGTAGGACTCGGGATTATTGCGATATATACGTTTCCACATATTCAAGAAAGATACAAAAAGTGGAAACTCGCAAAAAATCAGCGAGATGCTGCACTTGGCAAGAGTAAGTTAATGATTTATTTCAAGATTATTCTGCTAATTGCCATTTTTAAATTGGTGTGCTGCCGGAGATTAATTTTTCCAAAAAAAGGAAAATATTAAGCACAATTTATTTTGTTCGACGAATAATATCTTTAGAATATAGTATTCTTATGAAAATAAGATCTGTTGTCGAGAACTTCTTTTTTAATTGAAGAAAACACTGTAATTATCATCCTTACATAGTTTTTAAAAAAAAGATTCTTAAAATTTAGAGTGATTTGTCTAAAAGTCATGGTAATCATATTAAAGATACAAATTTTTATTTAGGCAATCAATAGTTCTTGCAATTCTGTTTGCCATATAAATGCATATAATCTGTCTTTATTGATTGTATTTAGAGACTGACGAATTGCCGCAGTTGTCAGCTAACGTGGAACTAGCTCGACAAAAATTGCAAGAAGCATACGACAAGAGTCGTGTCTTAGCGCAAGCCAAGGAAGAAGAGGTATTTTTTATTATATGCGTCACTCAATATATTATAATATATGTTTACACTTATATTTCTAAAATATAAACTGGTGCAATTTTTTATATAGGAAAAAGAAAGAAAGAGGCAGAAGGTCTTGAAATTATTGGAAAATAAAAACGTAGGTACAAGACTCGGTCACGGCACTGATGACGATATACCTAGTACAAGTACAAGTACAAAATCAAAGTCATTAAAATCAGGTAAGATTCATGCCACTGATTATATCTCTAAGATAAACTTGAATGACGTAATATCACACATGCTTCATTTGCAGAGTATAATCCTTTAATGGGTGATAATACTCGTGGATATCGTCCTCCAAAACGAACCTGTTGCAAGAAGGGTGGATGTGGTTAATCATAAATTTATGAAATCTCAAAAAACTATTGACATTCTTATAAGAGACTTAAAAGAAGATAAAGAGAGAAGAAAAATCATGAGATCGAATAGGTACATTTGAATTATAATGCTTAACGACTTTTTACCAAATAAGTTTCAATAATTGTTAAAAAAAATTGATATATGTATAAGTATTAATTTCTGTGCAATTCTAAAGAATTAATAAACTAAAAGATTGATTTTATAGCAAATTAAGATGTAGATTTCATATACTTTTACTTAATTACTTAATAAATCGTAATAAATTCTTTAAGGTTCCCGTTTATTCACCAAATATATGCTTATTAATTAACAAAACAAAAAGAGGACTTTTAGTATATTTTGTGAGTCTATTCTATTGATTACAAATATTCTATTGAAAAATATTTCTGTTTAAATAAATTTTGCAAAAACTTTAATTTCTTCTGACGTCACAAGTAGCAAGTGATCAGAAAGCTTAAATTATGTAAAAATTTGTGCGATTGTATTTCGAGAGAGTAAAGGATAAAAAGATCTTAAATGAGACAAGCACTCGCATTTCCTTGTTACAGGCGCTTCAATTTTCAACATTACCTTTTATTAATCGTTATCAGTATAATATGCAATGATATATATCAGCATACGTCGCTTTATACGTGTACGTGGTACTTGACAATAGCAACTGTTACAAATTATCTACAATCGTGCACGTGTATGTCTCTATGTGTATGTATACGTGTGTGACGTGTGTCTCTGTAGAATGCACGCTCCTATTTTACTCTTAAACCTCATCGATTTCGCTTGTTTCGCGACGACGAAGAGAGACGCGGGCAGCGCGTCTCTCTTCCGTAGTAAATAAATTATAAAATTAACTATAAAAATGCTCACCATTTTTATTTACTCGCTGTATTTACAGAATATAAAAAGGAAAGCTTGAGCTAAATACGCGTCCCCGCGGACCTCGAGGGGATGTGTGCTTGTGCGCCCTTCGGCGAATTATAATCACACACGTACGCGCGCGGCCCGTAAAAACGCAGTCTGGAGAAAGAGAAAAAGGGAGAAGACGAAATAGAGAACGTCTCCCTTTCTTCCCTTTCTGTCGCATTGCCTCCAATTCGAAATCACTATTTCTGTGTTCTTAATGATATGAATTATATTTTTACGCAGCTCTAGCTCTCTAACGATCTACTTAATCCTTTAAGCGCGATCCAGGATCCAATTGCTTACACCAATGTTGATCAGTCAGTGCTACTCCGATATTTATATTTCAGTTCCTACTTTTGCGTTAGACAGGCTGCCCCAGACCTAAAAATTATATTAAGAACACTTCAACGAACGCGGAGTTGACTTCTCTCAGGAGCGAAGCTAATATTCTCAACTCTTTGTATCTCTTAGCGAGTAGGTTGCCCTCGAAAAACGAGGTTTCAATTAACTCCCTTAACGTAAGTCAGGACTTGAAAATTTTCATTAAAAAAAGAAAGTTGTAAAATTCATAAATATACTCGTCAAAATATTTTCCGGTAGAACACCCTGTAAATTGGACTCTTGGAGAAAAATGCATCGGTCAGTTCGGTCGGTGCAGCTATCGGTCTTCATTATTGCATTCATCGGTGTCAAATTTGAAATCTGAAGAGGTCCGTTTCTTCAAAAGCGACTAACTCTCGACATCGCCAGATGTGAATTTACGGTTCGAAAAACTTCACCCTAAACTTCAACGCGACCATTTCCCTCCGTCGATGACGACCGATCGCCGCAAATTCCATTAACAAATAGGATCGTCGGTTGCTCGATTGATCGAGAAACGTTATTTACGTGCGTTTCACAAGTCGGCGGACTTGTCACACGTTGTGTACGTGTGGATGTGTATATCATGTTCCGCGTGTGTGTGTCCCTTGTTAACCGTGTGCTCGTGTCAAATGTTTACGCGAGTCTGCGCAGTTTAAACGCTACTGTGATTTATACAAGTCCTCTCAACCATCGTAACAATAATACAAAGATGACAAATTATAAAAATAATACGTTTATCTTTTTCTCATTTTCCTTCGCGCATTGATACGATGGTTTGGCAGCATGTCCGTTGGCATGTCCGAATCACGATCGTTTAGGAAATGGAGATACGATGCTTTCCGAAAAGGTCACGATTCTGTAGCCTTCGTAAGAGACGTATGTATATATCCGTATATGTGCATGCAATAAATGCCTTTCCTCTCGATAATCGGCGGCTGCATCCGGTCTTCACGCGCTGTAATCTGGAAGCTACGGATCCACTGCTCGTCACGTCAAACGCGCACCTCGCAGGTACAAATGACACAAATCCTCTTCATTTTTCTTCTCTTCGCCGTTGGATTCAGCAAGGTCAAAGTATTACGCTTTCAAAGTGATCCAAAGACCAGGTCGGCGCTCTCTTGGAGACTGAAAGTACCTTCCTTATAACTTCATGAATTTATAAATAATTATTGAGAGATTTTTTTTTTTTTATCAGATATGTAAAGTGAAGGTCGGATTTTGAATCTGCGGTCTGCCAAGTCGGCCACTCCTACACGGGAAGCCACGCGTCATCCTCATACAATTTTTTTTTCCTTCAAACTAAACGCATTCGTAAAACATTCGCAGTGGATTCGCATCTCATCGGATGCAGCCGTTTTCCGAGGAAGATGCAACTTCGCTTGTCTAACGGAACACGGATCGATATCCTCGGGGGATTCTAACGACGACGACGGGAGCTGGGAAATCGATCATCCCGTCTATAAGTCCAGCTGTGAGCCGGTATCGATATGATGCAGGTATATAGCAATCAACGTCTCACGCCTCGTTAGAATGGTGGCCGAAGGTAACTTCCGTCGTTCTTTCGACGAGGAGCGTTAGATCAGCGAAGGTGGAGAAAAAGGCCGAGAGCGAGTAAACCTTTCGAAGCACCTACTCGCGTCTACCTCTCGATTCAAACTCTCGCATCGAACCCGCGTGGACTCGCACCGGACGCACACACATTCGTACGCGACGACGGAGATACTTAAAATACGCATCCTATCTAATTATGTGTAATGAGATGCTTCCTTCTAGCAGTAGTCTCGCGTCTACTCTCCCCTCGGCGACTCGCTCACTCTTTCTCCTCCCGTCTCTTTTTTTTCTCTCTCTCTCTCTCTCTCTCTAAAATCTAAAAAGTATATCGAGATGATATTTCCTCCTCACGCTTATTCCCTCGCCTGTTTGGATGGACTTTTTCTTACTGGATATGAATTTACTCGCGCGCGGCCGCGCGAGTAAATCTATATACCGGGATTTATGACTCTATATATAGCTATATATATATATATATATATATATATA